GATATTGCAGATCACCACCCCTCCGGAGCTATGTTTCATAAAAGAGGTAACACAAAAAATAATTCAGTTATGTTATTCAAACATTTATAAGCACCCCCTCCCCATAAAGCCTTATGGGGTACACTGTCACAACACCTATAGTGAGTTATTGACTGAGCTGGAAATAGGATCCAGGTCTTCTGCTCCTGTTCCCCTGGTTCTAAATACTAGACCACATTCCTTTCCAGGGAATGGGCTGACAGTGAGGATCAGGGATGGCTGTCAAGCTACTCCAGAGAGAATCCTAGAAATCCGAGATTGAAAAGACCTGTTAAGCCTCATCTAGTCCATTGTCCTGTGCCACTGCAGGATTAGTCCTTACAGGACCCCATGTTAGTAAGACCAGCCAGGTCTGTGACCAGGTCTTCTGCAGGTCCATCTTGTATGGCTTTTCCAGTATCTATTCATTGAGGAAGACGCTATTGGTAGGTATTTCTGTGTAATACATTTTCTGCATGAATAATGCAGGTGGGATATTGTGGGTAACCTTGTGTTACCTGCACAATCTGGGGCACCCTGCCTATACCCTACTGAGAGCTCAAGGCATCACCCAGTTAATTTAGGCACTCCCACCCTTTCCCTTCCAAGGGTTCAGGGCATAAGGCACCTACTCTTACCCATGTGGCTCAGGGAGAAACCTGGTCAGTTTAAGTACCTGCCTTTATTCATAGGGCCAAGGACTCTTCGGGTCTGCAGGATCTTTTCCCAGCGAAAGAGCCTTACCCAACTGTGCTCTAAACATCTATTTATTAGCAAGACCCAGAGAATACATATACTAAGTAAATCTATTATGCTCACCACTCCCAATATATAGACAAATTTCATCTGATGGCCAGTCATGATCCACTTGTCTGGGGGTTGCCAGCGATGCCTCTGCATGTCACAGTCATGCAGAGGGTTTGATGTCTTGCAGCTTCTTGTTGTACTGCAGTACAGAGTTGATTCCCAAAGAGTATTGATTTTCATTTACATTATATAGGTAAAACTATCTATCTCCTTCAAATTTAATAAGCCTGTCACATTATCCCACACCCTCACATAACAAAAATTTTAACCAATTACACACTGGTCCCTATGTGTCCTTCTTCCTGTCCAAGTTTTTTACATTTAATCTTTCATGTCCAAATTGTAACGTATTTGTGACCTTTTCTGTTTGTGCAGGTGGTCAGCATAAATTTGTGTGTCAGAACTTATCTTATACCATTTGTTGAGTCTCTCTCTGTACCTAAAACTTTCCAATGCCTGGGTGTCTCTGCTTTACAACCATGGTGGTTATAACTCTTGTTAGGAACATTCCAGAGGTGGGGGTGCTTTATCAGCAGCAGATCATTCTTTTTTTTTTTTCTTTCAATTTCAGTGATGATCTCCCTGAGTTTCACCCAAGGCTGGTTTAATATGGGGAAGAGTGCGGGGTTTGATTAGATCATAGAATATCAGGGTTGGAAGGGACCTCAGGAGGTCATCTAGTCCATCCCCCTGCTCAAATCAGGACCAATCCCCAACTAAATCAGGACCAATCCCCAACTGACTCAGACAGATTTTTGCCCCAGATCCCTAAATGGCCCCCTCAAGGATTGAACTCACAACCCTGCTAAACCCAGTGCTCAAACCACTGAGCTATCCCTCCTCCCAACACTTGGAACGTAGACCTGCTAAGCCTGTTCCTGCCAATCTTACTGGTGTTCACACTCTGCCTCCTTGGTGTTGAGGTTTGAACCAGGGTTGTGAAGTTTCATCTACTGAAGTGTGTGTTTGTGTTTCAGAGCTCTCTGAAGTCTTACTACATAGTGGAGGGAAGATCATGCTGGGCTGGCTCCTCCATTACCTCCCTTTCTTCATGATGGGCAGAGTCCTCTACTTTCATCATTACTTTCCTGCCATGCTTTTCTCTAGCATGTTGACAGGTAAATACTGCAAAGCAGAGACCTTGAAGGTAGAGGGGAGTAGGAGGCGAGCTGAGTTGGAAGGGGTATTTTTAAAGTGACATAACTAAGAAATGGATTTCTTTTTTCTTTCGGCTCTCTGGTTCAGGGCTAGTGCTTGGAAATGTGTACTGGTTCAAAAGTGTTTTTAGCCCTAGCTGCTTAAGACAGCGAACCCTATACAATTGTCATTTGGATTACCATCTTGATTTGATCTCAGAGAGGCTGCGGCGCTAGTTCATAGGGCATTGGACTGGGATTTAGGAGACCTGGCTTCTTTTCCCTGCTTTGCCACTTTCTTGCTATGTGACTTGGGTGAGTCATTTCACCTCTCCTTGACTCTGTTAGCTCCCTTTCTGTTCTGTATCTTGTCTGTTTAGAGTTCTTCAGGATAGGGACTGTCTCTTACTATGTTTTTGTATAGTGCTTTGTAATGGGGCCTTGATCTCAGTTGGGACCTCTATATACTACTGTAATACAAACGATATATTAAAATAATCCATTTCAATTCCAACATGATTTTTAGCAGTCACTGTCTTCAGACCACTAAGAAATAAAGTTTTATGACTCTGTAAACTGGAAGGCCCTGTTCTCAAATGGTATAAAGCATTAATCTCTGACCCTGGTAGTACATGAGCCTTCAGCTACTAAAATCATGCTGCACTTGAAATGGAGGAGACAGAAGAAGCAAGATAGTAACTGGAATTATGTAATTTTGTGGTCTGATACCTCTAGCAGTCAGGACTAATCTAAAGTATTTTATTCCAGTGGGAATGTTGGGAAAACCAAATTTCTAGTGATAGAAAGCTTCACTTCTTGTGCTAAGGGTTGATAAGAGATCAGACTTTAAAAACAGAATTGGTCCTTTGTTCATATAGAGCTTTATCAGCATTTGTTTGTGACTGAGTGTAGCAAATATAGCCTGCATCTCTCTCCTGGCTTCCGACATGGTGCCTCTAGTTATGAATTTTATTTTCTTCTCCTAGGAATTACATGGGACACGTTGCTGAAGTTCTGTGCTGGGCGCCTGTCCTGCTCCATGGGGAGGAGGGTGTATACATATGGGACGCTGGCACTGATGTTGCTCATTGTGTACAGGTGACAGAGCTAGAAGCTGAGCTGCTCCTGCATGTAAAACAACATCTGTTGTCTCAGTGGAAGTGTTGGCTCCTTGACACGTTGTTTTTAACTTTTCACTCTCCCAACTCCTTTCCCCTTTTTTTACTCTGCTAAACTCTCGGATAGCAACAAACTCAGCCCTGAACCCTTCATATGAACCAGATTCAGCTTTGACAGCTTTTGTCCATTTCCTGATAATGACTTTGCAGAAACCTTTTCATTACAGGGAGTCTCTTTGTTTAACCCTGGAGCTCAGTGGGTACAAATGCTGGTCAGCTAGACTGGCTCCCTTCTTCCCCACAGCTTAGCAGATACAGACTCTGATCCCCATCCCTCATGGTGCCAGACCATCAGTCTATGCTATACTTTAAAAATGTATTGATTAAACATGTTTATAGGCTTCCCAATCCCACCCCACCCATGGTAAGGCCATGTACCTGGCTGTATTAATGTTGTTGAGCGGGAGGGAGAGAGCCCCAAATGGAATCTAAAGCAGCCCAAATATGCAGTTAATCAGAATTTGACAGGTGTTTTGATCCTCTCCACAGCTTCTACCTCTTCCATCCTCTGTCCTATGGGATGGTGGGACCTATGGCTTCAGATCCCAACAGCCCAATGGCAGGGCTCAGGTGGCTGGAATCATGGGAGTTCTAGAGCCGGCAGGAGGCAGCCTGGAACAAGGGAATAAGAAACACAAGAACTATCAAGTGTCAAGCTGACTCTTGGGCACTTTGAGTCAAATTGCTGTGAAGCACCACTCTGGAGAACTCCGGAGAATCTGCTCCCCATAGTAGCCCATTGTCTCATCACTGGTTTGCACAGTCTGAGCCTTGGCAGAGGATGACCACAAGAAAGACCCTCTAAGTAAGACTCCAGCCATAGGTCCAGTAGATTCTATTTCCGAGGCCAGATACTGCTCAGAAAGAAGACCTGGGTCCTCCGAGCAATGTGTCTTAGAATTTGTACAGTCATACTTTGGCCTTGCTTTGGCCTGTCTAGCAGCCACACTGGTGTGATTTGGAGGAGTATGTGTTTATATCTGTTGGAGGGTGAGGTTGCACACGTCTGTCTTTGTCTCTGTTCATATGAAAATCACTCGATTGCAGGAAAGAACTGACTGTAGAAAACACAGTGTCCTGAGACATTAAGGATCTTTTCATATTTAATAACTTTTATTAGTGGTGTTTTATATATATTTTGGAGAATGTCTGGGAACCGCCCTGTCCCAGCCATTTGCATTTCACTGATCTGATGCTGTTTCTAGTACCTGGCCGAACTGAAAGTCTCTCAGTGGCCTGAACCCTCCATAAGCCATCGTGCCTTGCCTGTCTCCCAGGCCCTTTGCAAACAGAAGGATTGTTTATCCTTGCATATCCCCTTGCTTTCAGGCCACCTGTAACCACTTACAATAATCACTGTGTAGCTACCTGGCAAACCTCATGACAGCTCAGAGCCAGACAGTTCCAGTTCATCAGTCTTGCAATTCTGCCACAAGATGCTAAGATGCCCCAAAGATAATTACAGTGAGAGCAGCAAGTTTCTTTTATTGCTTGTCTTGGGTTCTTTGATGTAAGGGCCAGCCTCTTTGGGGATGCACAGATAGGGAACCCTTGCTGACAGCTGTCATTCATCCTTTGATACCAGCAGTTCTACTGCCAGTAACACTGCGTTGTGTGAGGAAGCTAAGACTTAGCAGTCACTGGAATCTGCAAAGCCTACTGCTAGATCTGGGGTATTTAACCATTAATATTCCTCTGCTGAAGGCAGGTTTCTTCTAATGGGAAACTGCACTTCTTGTTATTATGATAAACTGCCAGGCAAATGAGAAGGGGGGGGTGGAGGGAGAGAGAGAAACCAGAACAAAAACTCTTTGCTTGTCTGGTGAAGAGAGCTCTCTGATGCTGAATCCATCCCTTCCCAGGCAGTGAGGGTGGGAGGGAAGGGACCTGGTCCTCACACAGGTGTGGGGAAGCTTTTTAATGAGGTATCTATTCCTTTCTTCCTTCCCCCAAATGTTCCTTTTGTTCCACTTCTTTCCCCTAAGGTCCTTTCTTTCCCTTCAGTTCACTACTACTGTCCTGTAGCATCCAAAACAAATTGCCTTGAGTCACAGCTGTGTGTGTCCTTTGAGGGAGCAAGGTTTGCGAGGCAATTTTGCATATGTATCAAGACGATCAAGCCCTTCATTTCAGATTCCCTGCTTTGCCTCTCAACCCTGCTCCTGAATATATATTGGGTGAGTATCAGTAACAGGTGAGTGTGTCTGAGTTTTAAAGATGAGTTCTGCTATACTCCCTCTCCATGGATTCCAATGCGTTATCTGTAACACGAAAGGCTGTTGGCATGGAGATTGTGCTAACATCCCCAGACCAGGCTGGATGGCTGTGCCGTATGCTGGGCTGAGGCTTAGTTCAGACCTGCTGTCACTTTAATAGAGGAAATGTAGGAATGTTCAGTTAGGCAGCTGCTTGCTATTGTAACATGCTGGCTCAGTATGTCATATCCGCCTCTAGAGGCCGGTCCACATACAAGATAGGAGCCTACTACTGGTACCAGCTCAAGTGGTATAGGCCTTTTGCTTTTGATGCTAAAGGTTTTGAGTTAATCCCCTGCTGACAGTCCATGGTGGGGGGTCATTACTGTAATTAACTGCTGGGTTTGATGATCTCTTTCTATTTACTGTGGTGGGAAGTGCTCCCCTCTGGGTTAGCCAAGGCTGCTCAGAGATGATATGTAGGAAAGGAGGATGAGGGAGAGAGTTGAAAACATCACCAAATCCTGCTTAGTTTGACATGTGGAAAAACAGCAACGGATTATAAACAGGTGGCAATATGACAGGCAGGCATTACACTGCCTCATTTTTAATAATGTTATTGGGTATCTTATACTGCCAGTAAGAACATCAGCTTAATGTTGTGATGTCACGAGAGTAGATTTTTCCTGTAGAAGTCACACTGCCAATGGCAGGAAGTGCCAGGGGCTCATGTAAAGGGTGGATTGAGATAGAGGATACCCTCAGGCACTAGGGACCCAGCAGTGATATAAACTTGAACGGCAGCAAACCAGTCCCTTGCTACTGAGAAGTAAGAAATCAGTAGGTACCTATGTAGGATGGTCCCAAAGGTGGTTCACACATCTTTGCCATCATAGGACCTTTTAGCTAAGTCAAAACGTTGATTTAGAAACCTCTATTGATGAGGAGGTGGAGCAGTAAGAACTTCAGGAGAAACATGAGAAAGCTGGGCCTCTCCTTGGTCATTGTTCCTGTCTCCTCTGCTGCACTAATAGGTCTACTTCAGATTTTGGGGGAGCTTGAGTTGGCTAGATGAAAACACCACCTAACTCAATCTCCCTTCCAGCTTTTTGTGCCCAGGTCAACTTCAGTCTCAGTACAAACAAGAGGCTGCTTGTCTTTGGTGCTGGGAGTTTGGATGCCTCACACTGGAAGTTTCTGACTGGCACAAGAGCTAACCCACTTCTTGGCCCCTGTGCAGCCAACTGTCCACATGCGGGGACACATACAAAAAAATAAATCTAGTTATCCCACAATAATGAACAGCCTGTGACCAGACTCTTGAGTTAGGGTGTTAAAAGGACTGCACTCAGACATTAATAACCAGCTTTTTAAAATGGGTACAGCCTGGGGGTTCATCCTCTGAATTCTAAGAGCCAAGTCCTCAGCTGGTGCAAATTGATATTGTTCCCTTGTCTTCAGCAGAGCTATGCTGTCTCACCCCAGCTGAGGATCTGACCCTAAATATCTATTTCTTGAAAAATTCACTGGGCCATCACTGAGAACAAAACTACAGTGTCTTTGTGTTTGTGAGCCCTACCAAATCTATTAATTTGTGCTGCCTTTACTGGCACTGCAGCAGCATTTAAGCTTGGACACACTTCCAGAGCTGTGCAGATTTGAAGCAGTGGGTGCAGTGAAACTGACCCTTGCCTTCTCGAGGAGGGAGCTGTTGCTCTGCATTGCCTCTGTTTGGTCAGAGGTCTCCACAAGATCATCTGTAGACTTTCTGCTTGGGTTCTAGGTCTTGATAAACACTAGTACAATTCAGTCTAGCATTCCTGGCTGTGGAATGAGAGCTGGTTCATCTTGAGGACAACTCATTTGTCCCCTTCCCCAGTCGTGTGGAAACAGCTAGTGGTGCTTTCACAGGCCAGAAGATGCTGCTGTCTGGAGCAGCTGCTCCCTATGAGGTTTCCCAGGCAGTCATCCATTATTGTTGGGGATGTCATCAAACTCAATCTGTGGAGCCCAAAATGTAAACATCTGCAGGCTTCAAAATTCCCATTCCTGCTCTTTCCTCAGATTTATACTGTAAAACTGTGTTTTCACTTCTCCAGTCTTTGGAGGATACAAAGAAGGACTTGAGTTCAGCATATCCAGCTTATTTTAGGCATTGCATTCACCTGAACGGAGGTTCTATCAGCAATCACTGCAAGGGCACGCATGCCCATTCCAGCAGCAATGACTGAATTAATTCCACAGAGCTAGGAGCTCGTGTCTGTGGGACAGCTATGGTCCTGAAAGTGCCTTTGCTGAGGCAGCCATGGAATACTCACAAATAAACACGTCTGCAGCTCATCATCACTATGTGATGCACCTATCCCCAGACCCGCTAGCAGGAAAACCAGCATCAGTCTGATCTACAGAGAATTTCTTTTGAAGTCTTAATTGAATGGGTTTGTTTTACTGACATGTCAGAACAAATCAATATGATCCAGCTTTTTATATCCCCTTCTGCCCTCCCTTCTCTCCCCCTCTCCCCCCCCCCAAAGTCCTGTACTCCTTTCTAGGCTGGTCCACTAATCACTGAGCCCTTTGGATGTGCATCCAGTTGCCAGAAGAGCCTGGACCAGAGTTGAGCTGAGCTGCCGTGTCCTGAAGGAACAGAATGCCTGTCAAATGCAGGCATGGCAAAGGCCTTGTAGTAGAAAGCTATAATAACTGACTTCTTTAACGGCATCAGCAGAGAGAGTTCAAAGGGTGGGACTCCTGCCAACCTTCCCTCTTGTTTGTGCCTCTGGGAGTCTCATCCAGTGTGTTTCATTGGAGATGAAAGGTGTGCCTGTATTTTCTTCCAAAATGCTCCTATTCATAGATCTCAAATGTTGGCAGACCTGGTGGCTTCCCTTCCAAGGGTCATGTCCATGTGACTGTTTCTCTGGATGCAATAACCAGCACTGTGTACATGAGCTATGTGTTATGCACTGCTAGAATACCCCTTCTTTTCTCCTCTTATGTTCCTACTGGACCCTGAGCATCCTTCCATGGTGGCCCTGTATCATCATCTGGGGCATCTGGATGGGACTTCCCCCTTCAGAGCAAATGACCCCTCCTTACTGGTCAGGTGTATGTCATGGTGGGGAGGGAGCTGAGGAATGTTAGAGCATCATAAGGCCCTTTCTCCTTGAGGGGGGAAAGATAGATAATGATGCTATCTCCACAGCATGCCCAGCCCCTTTAAACAGCCTTGAAAAGCAAGAAACCAGGACCGAACTGGATCTGTCTCCATGGCAGTAAGACAAGCCGTATGGCCGTCCCTGTGTTACTTTATTTCTGAAATACACTTCATACTCTGTGTTTGGGGGTCAAGGGCTACTGACTGTTGCACATACCAGTTTGGAGGGAGCTAAGGGGGGATATTAGTGCTGAAGCCGCTATTGCTATTTTATTTATGTAGACTCCTAAAAGTTAGGCAGGCAGGTTTACCCTGTCATATTAAGGGAGTGATCTTGGCTCTATCCTGGAAAATTTACCCAAAACTGAACAGAAGTTTGGAGATAAAATGATGATGGGCTTCTTTTGTGACCCAACCTTCTGCATTATGAACCTTACTAATGCTGCTAATATTAATGTATTTGGTTGTTTTTGTGTATGTCTCTATACATGTATTATTTGACTGCAGGCTCCTAATTCTCTTCAATTGCAGAGCAGCGTGGTATACTAAATGCAGTGTATTAAATGGATGGGAGAGAGCTCCCTTGAACTAAAAATCATTTTGTAAAGGAATTCACAGAAAATCAGAGGTAGAATTTGGACTTTAGTTTTGTAATAAATAACTCTTCTTTCAAATGTCTTGTTCTTTTCACTTCTGTATTTTTATTTCCCCCTCTTACACAGATGTAAAGCTGTGGCATGAAGTTTAAATGCCACAGCTCTGTCACAGAATAGGGGCTAGACCAGTTTCAGTGGTGCCCAGGTGTTTTGCAGTGCAACCTATGGCCACCCTCAATTTTAATACAGAAGGACTACAAGTCCCAGCAGGCGTTTCTTCACCTCAGTCTAAACGGTGAATATGTGTAAGTACGGTGCCCATGGAAACGAAGAAGAGCCATTTGGATGAAGATGAAGCATTGCTTGCTAACACGGGTAGTCTTCACAGACCATACCTTCATATAAAAGATGAGACCAATTGTAATGTGTATAATATGCTTTATGCCATGCCAATTTGGTGTAGCCTTCAGACTCCTCATTGGTTACCTATGAGTCTCGGCTGGGCAAAGCTCAGGTATGTCAGGGAGTCAGATATGCCCAATGATTAAACCTTGTTCCTAGTGGGTATTGGTCCACATTACAAAAACCAATACAAAATTCATTATAAATACAGGCCCATGTCAGGATCCTGACATGGGCAGTCAGGGCAAAGAGTCAGAATAGGGTCAAACCTGAGGCAGAGCGAAGTGGAGGATTTTGTAGTCAAGTTCCAGGTCAGGGTCGATACCGATGATTGGAGTCCAAGTCATGCTTCAGGGTTTGGGTGATGAGGTAAGTAAGAATCAAATTGAGGCGAGGTCAAAGCCAGGAGTTCAAAAGCAAAGAGCAGAAATAGTCATAGCAGCTCCTGGAGATCCGTGCTGTTGCCTGGATGCTTCCTGGAATGCCGCTTGGGTTTATATAATCCAGAGCCATGAGGCTGCTGCCTGTCAGACCCTTTGAGGCAGGACTTTCCATGGTTGTTCACAGCGGGTCATGGATTGTGGAGTGCAGGCTGGTTATATCTGCTGCTTGGTGGCAGCATGGAGGAGTCTGCGGTCTGGCAGCTCTGTGGGCCTGAGTTTGAGACCTGGTGGACCTTACAACTTCTGGACTGCAGTAACAGGAGATGGTGTAAATCAGGACTGGAGCCTCCAAGACTGGAATAGCAGCATAATGCCTGCCTCACATGTCATAGCAGTAAAAAGATTTAAAAGTTTATATCAGTAGTACATTACAGACGTCCATGAATGTTGTGCTAGAATTTCATAAAGCGCAAGTTGCTGCACATTTAGAGAGGTGTCCAAGCTGCATCATCTTACTTGAAGAAAGCTCATAATAAAGAGGACAGCTTGGAGTAACAAGATAATAAATAGTATGGGAGAGACAGATGTATCAAAATGTTAGTGTTCCTATGGCACCTAAAGGTAAATCTATCATGTGACTGCTAGAAGAGGGATGTTTCACCTTTTCTGTTAACCCAATTCCTTAATTGAGTGGGAGTTGGTTGATTTAGTGTATCAAATGTTGTATTAAAACCAAACTTGAGGCTCTAGTTGAGGGTGTGCAATAGACCACAACTAGGAATTGTGGGGTAAGCGGAGGGAACACGTGTAAGAGAAGGAGAGCTTGAAGGAGAGCTTATTTTACAAAGAGAGTAGTTACCAGGTAGAGTGGACTTCCAACTGACAGGATAGAACAAAACAGCAGTAGTATAGCTGAAGGAAAAACTGCATATCTCTCTGGAATTTACTAAGATCAGGGACTGTTAGTTTTTGTGTATACGAGTAGCCAACCTCCAGAAAGAGTTGGGGAACTTTTTGCTGGGTAACAGAGTTTTCTTTTTACGTTTCCCTCTTCTTTATCATATATAACTAACATATATAAAGTGTGTGTGTGCAGATAGACTGATGTAGCTCAACATGTAAAATGTTTAAAAGTAGAATACAAACGGTCTTCCAGACATGAAGGGCTTGCTGTAGCTGTTCTGTGTTACCTGGCAGGTCTGAAGTGCAATGGCAGATCTGTGTGGAAGAAGTTTGCCTAGCCTAGCCCCTGGTCCAAATAGTTGTACAAGTCAAACAGCCTTTTCTAGCCCTGGGTCTATGCTGAATTCTCATTTTCATGAGCACCAAACTCTGACTATCAGGGTTTAAGCCAATGGCTAACTACTAGAGATTAGACCTAGACGTAATATGGTGTGTGGATTATCCCACATCTGCCTACTGCAGTGTTCTTACATCTTTCTTTGAAGGATCCAATACTGGCCTGATCTGATCCATTATAGCAATATAACGATGTCTGGCAAAGTTTGAGTGTAATGAAAAGGGAAATTCTTAATGGTTTCATATTGAAATATCCAGCCTGATCTAATTTTTCTTTCAGACTGTGTATTCAAATGACTGAGCTTTAGGAATTGGGTGGGCCAGATAAAGAATAGTTTAATCATTCTTATTCCTAAACTGAATGTGAGGCTCGTATTCACTGTATTCTTTTTATATATGGTATAATATCGAAGACTAGGAAAGAGATTCATTAAGGGATTCCAAAGCTTAAGAGAGGAGCAAAGGCTTTAGCCGTTGGAAGTGGCTGATGTGTTTCCTGGATACAAATGAGATAAATGGCTGAAGTTGGGAAGATTTGGGGAATTAGAGTTGTGAGAATGAGAGAAAGAGAAGGCATCTCTATAATACTAAGAATAATAACGTTTGAGGATTTCCTTCAGAGGGTGACTGACGGCAGTATGGGGAGGGGCAAGAGGGAGATTTACAGGCTTGTGAAATTTGGGAGGCAAGAAATAGTTGGACAAGTCAAACAGCTGCTGTTTTGACAGTAAGTAGGTATACGAAATTTGAGTGGAGGACAGAGATGATGGCCGCAGTTTGGGGAGTGAGGAGAGGCGGGAGATATAGGTGGTGGATTCATACATTTTTAAGGCCAGAAGGCACCATTAGATCATCTAGTCTGATCTCCTGTATAGCACAGACCATTACATTTCAGCCAGTTATCCCTGTATTCAACCCAGTAACTTGTGTTTGGCTAAAGCATATAATCAAGAATGACATCTTGATCTGAAGACCTCAAGAGATAGAAAATCCACCACTTCCCTGGGTAGTTTGTTCCATCGTTAATCAACCTCACTATTGAAAATGTGTGCCTTATTTCCAATTTGAATTTGCCTGGCTTTAGCTTCTAGCCCTTGGTTCCTGTTATGCTTTTCCCTGCTAGATTAAAGAGCTCTGTAGTATCTAGTATTTCCTCCCCGTGAAAGGTACATATGCACTGTCATTAAGTCACCTCTCAGTCTTCTTTTTGATAAGCTAAATAGATGTTTCTCACTGTAAGACATTTTGTCCAGCCCTCAAATCATTTTGTAGATGTGTGGCTCGTTTTTTGCACCCTCTCCAATTTTTCAACATCCTTTAAAAAAAATATGGACACCAGAACTGTATGCGGTATTCCAGTATTGGTGTCACCAATGCCATTGTGAAGGTAAGAAATATCATTTGACTGAGGTCAGAGGTCAGCAGCTGGCTGGCTGATTAGCCCTGCCCACTGCACCTGGGAGAAGACCTGCATCTCTTAACTGGCTGATTCTCATAAAAGGAGGAGCAGGACGGGGAGCTGCAATACCTGCCAGAAGATGGAGCTACTCTGGGAGGAACTACTCGCAGAAACAAAAATGGACAGAAGAGAGACTGTGGGAAGTCCTATTATCAAAAGGCTTTGAGGTAAACCAGGAATTTATGGGGGGTGAGAGACAAACTTGGGGAAGTTTTGATCTTGTTTGCTGAGGAGACTTTGAAATAAAAAAGAAAACCACAACAACTGACCCTGCTGGAAACTATCTTTCCTGGACTCTGGGGGAAGGTTCCAGGCAGAATTCCCCCAGGGAGGGCGCTGGCTCAGCAAGGCCAAGCCAAGGTCCAGCCGGAAGAGGGCACTAGAGAGAGGCCCCAATCTCTTTACAGCCATATACAAAAATAAAATCACCTCCCTGCTCCTACACCCACTATTCCCATTTTGTGGGAAGACAATCATCCTTGAACTCCAAGGGATTGCTGACAACTCCCTTGTTTATACATTCAAGGATCACATTGCCTTTTTTGCCACAGCAATAGCAACAGTTGTCTGTCTACTATCATCCCTAAGTCCTTTGCAGAGTCACTGCTATCCAGGATACATCTCCCCCCCCCCCCCCATTCTGTAGGTACACCCTCCATTCTTTATTCCTAGATGTGTGACTTTACATTTGGCTGTATTCAAACACATTTTGTTTCAGTGGGCCCAGTCTACCAAGATATCCAGATCACTATATGACTGCCCTGTCCCCCTCATTATTTACCACTCCATCAATTTTGATGTCATCCACAACGTTTATCAGCACTGATTTTATATTTACTCACAGATCATTGATAAAAAAAATTGAATTTCATCAGGCCTAGAACCCCATTACAACCTCCCTGCCCATTGACAATTACTTACTTAACAAGATCTGCCAGTTCTTAATCCATTTAATTTTATGTAGTGATAATTTTTTCATCAGAATATAGTCTCGTACTAAATCAAAAGCCTCACAAAATTATAAGTCTATTACAGTCTATTATAAGTCTGAAGTTATCTTGATCAACCAAATTTGTGATCATATCAAAAAAATGAAATCAGATTTGTTTGACAAGACCTATACATCACAGTTCAGGGCAACTGAACCTGTATTTTCCCCCATCAAGCGCATCCTCTCTTAGGCTTCTGGCTCCCCAACTGTCACCTCTCTTGGGCAGAGACATAGATTTTAAGGTCAGAAGGGACCATCTAGACTTGACTTCCTGCACATTGCATGACACAGATCCTCACCCGCCCACTCCTGTAATAGACCCCTAACCTCTGGCTAAATTGCTTAAGTCCTCAAATCATGGTTTAAAGCAGGGGTGGGTAAACTACGGCCCACGCGCTGGATCTGGCCCGTCGGGGCTTTGGATCCGGCCTGCAGATAGCACCAAGGGGTGGCAGAGGGCCCCACGCTGCTCCCAGAAGTGGCCGGCACCATATCCCTGCAGCCCCTGAGGGGAGGAGTGGACAGAGGGCTCTGTGCGCTGCCC